AAGAGATGCCCTTAGATTCCACTCTTTTGGTTGTTTACTGTAGTACGGCAAGCACAACTATGCATTTCTAGTCCTTTTGCATTTAATTATGAAGTATCTTTAAGAGTAATTTTATGATTAAAGCATCTGGTCTTAAAATTCATCAAGACCCATGGAAGTTAAAACTGTTTTATTGTGGTATAGGTGAATACCAGTGTGATGCCAATACTTGTAGCAACGGTGGAACGTGCTATGACGATGGAGATACGTTCCGTTGTTCGTGTCCTCCAGAATGGATAGGAAGTACTTGCAACACTGGTAAGCTTTTTGTCTACAGACAATGCCTGAAGAAGTAGAGAAATATTTAGATAATACTGAACTGTTTAGTAAATAAGGACACTGTTGTGTTAGCTGACTAGTTCAAAGTTTTTCCGGTTGGCTGGTAACTGTAGTTTAGAGGAACTTCTTCCACTCATCTGATATGATACTGATTTTTTAGGACGCTATTCTTCACAGGCTGCCTATGTTATCTTACACAGCTTCTCCTAAGCAGATTTGGAACACTTGGACTTGCGGCTTGATTTCTCAAGTAGTTTTTAGAGACCCTGTGTAAAGGTTTTCTTAGGAACTTACCCACCTGCTTTGCTTGAAGGTTCACAATGTGAATAAGTTTGTGACCGAGAGGTGTGTGAGTAGGCATGCTCAAGCAGAATGAAATGAAATGGTTCTTCCCAGGGAATTTGTGGGGTTACTGCCTACTGTGGGGAGCTATTCTTGATCTTTTGGGGACTGAATGTAGTCTTCACGGTACACTCTTTTGAATATGAAACTTCCATTAGGATCAAGAAGTTGGGTTGGATGAAGGTAATTCTGTGTAGTTTTTCTACAGATACAGTTGCAGCATTTAATCTGAATCTGAACTTTAAATTCTAGTATTTTACTATGAAGTACACCTCAGTGACTCACTGCAAAGTAGGAATTTTGCAGTATTTGAAGGATGTGTACAGAGATGGGGGAAAAAAATAGATAATATTTTTTTATAAAACTTCATGATTCAATCAAACAATTTAATTGAAATGATGGTGAAGGTAGGTGGGAGATGATCATGAATGACTTTTTGGAGTCTTGTGGCCTTATTGTAAGTCTGGCACTGCTGACTTAATTGCTATTCAGGATTGTGATACTGAGATATCCAGATGATCAATACTTTTTGTTTTCTGTACTAAATAGAGGCCTCTTCTCTTTCCAAAGCTAAAAACAGCAGCTGTATTCCGAACCCTTGCATGAATGGTGGAACATGTGTTGGCAGTGGAGATTCTTTTTCTTGCATCTGCAAAGAAGGATGGGAAGGACGTACGTGCACACAGAGTAAGACGTCTCTCCTTTCTTCCCCTGCATTCTCCTGGGATCTTAGGAGTGTCTGGCACAGAGCTGTTAACTGAAACAAAGCAAACATATAAGAGTTCGAGTGCCAAAAACATCTGTATTATTCAGGGTGGGAGATGGGTAAAGTTGATGCTTGAGTGATGAATGAAGAACTTGTCATGGTGCTTTTTGCACCAAGTCTCTGCCATGATAAGACTCTCAGCCTTCTATAGAAATATAACTTTGGGGAACACGTGCAGAGCAAGAAAATTCCTTGCAAAGATACTGATTTTAGTAATGGAAAGTATGTGGAAGGGTAGGCAGCAGTGTATATTGTGTCATTTTCTCTGAGGTTAGCAGTTAACTGCTTTGACGTACCAGTACAGTGAATTGGTTCAGTTGAGTAAAGTCTGCAACTTTGGTTTGGTGTTTTGTTGTTTTGATGTTTTGTTTTTTGGTTTTTGTTTTTGTGTTTTCACATGGTGTAACATAGTGGGGGAGGCAAGGGAAGTAAATACGAGCTCTGTTTTTAATCTACTGTGAAATTACCGTTGTATTGCACTTTCTTTGCAAGTATGGAAGGAAGCATTTAATTCTGTATTATTTTTCTTATCAAATATAATGTCTCTTGAATTCTAATATTATACATTAGAAAACAAATATGCTGCTAGTTACACTAGTCTGTAATCTTTTTTATAGATACCAATGACTGCAACCCTCATCCATGGTAAGTCTGCAAACTCCACTTCTGTACCTATTGTGAAAATAAAAGTGAGTAATAAGAATTTCCATTCCAGGTTAGAACTAATTCAGCCCTAAAATAATTGAAGCTAGCCCCTGTAAAAGTCTTAAAACAACTTTTTGCCGTGCCTTACCTATTCCTTGACAGCAACAAAGACCACAGAACAATCCTGGGTTGATTCATACATGAGCAGATAAAAGTATTTTAGTGTGGTCTTCCTGCCAGAACTGACTAGTAAATTACTGTGGTATGAAATGAATAGGACTTGGTAACGTTTCAAGCATCTATAATTGATTTTTAGAATAAAAAATAAATTAACTTCTTGTAAATGAACAGGTTTTAGTTTAGATAATATAAAAATGACCTGTTGGGTCAAGTACTATGTATAAATGTGTTTTTGAAAAAAAATATTTTTTGGAAGGTACAATTTTAAATATAGACGTTGATATTTATTATTGAAGGGGAAAAATACTGATTGATGGATGAAGCAAACCGTCTATCTTATCTTTCTATTGTCCATTCTAATGCAATAACCTATATTTTATGTATTTTTTAAAAAAATAAATATGCAAGCTTGCAAAAGCTTAGGCTTTCTCCATATTACCTTACAGTGCTGCTTTATCTCCTTGAGTTCTGTTGATACACTTCCCCATGTATGCATGCACTTCTGTAGGAAGTTGCTGTTTTAAGAGGTGACTTACTAAGCAGTATCGTTTCTCTAACGGTATGCTTGCTCTGTCGATGGGAATAGATTGTCCCCTCAAAAAGCAGCAGAAGTGTAATTAAGAAAGCTTTAGTTAGAGACCAATGAGACAATGTAGTTGGCTTTTTAAGTAGACTTGTATTATGAATAAGCAGGGACTTTTTAATTCTGCTTTGTTGAGTAGTGAGGAAGTTATCATGAATAGGGACAATAGAACTTTGCATTTGAACACGCTGCATGAGGTCTGTGTTTTTTGCTCATCTTTAGACTCCTGAATCTACCTGGAGAGTGCTTGGTGTAATGCTGTGTGTGTTATTTTTACAGTTACAATGGAGGCATCTGTGTTGATGGTGTGAACTGGTTTCGATGTGAATGTGCACCTGGGTTTGCTGGTCCTGACTGCAGAATTAGTAAGTATCTCTGTGGGTAAATAGCTGAAAAGCTGTACCATTCTGATGCACAAATCAGAACACCCTAGGGCATTTTTTTTGCATTACGCTAGTTGAATTCCAAATGGAATCATAGAATCATTAGGGTTGGAAAAGACCTCTAAGTTCATCAAGTCCAACCATCAACCCAACACCACCATGCCCACCAAACCATGTCCCAAAGAGCGGACTTTGAGTCTTCTGGCAGACAGTAAACAAGCCAACACCTCTAGGCAGAGGGTGACTGTAGGATCTGTGGTAGCATCAGCTTAGTGATCTCTGAATATAGAAACGAAGGTGGCAGATACATGATTATCTAGATCTAGACATGCAGTGAGGGATATTGAATTCCCCTTTTCCAGACCAGAAATGCAGAGAGGACTGTGTGTAGTCAAAGACAAATACTGTGCGTTCCTAATGGGACTGCAGACTCCTTTTTTTGCCTTGTTTAGACTGGTATAGACAAAGGCTCTGACACAAACTCAGCTTTGGCACTGATAATAGAAACAACAGTCACTTTTTTCAGCATGCAGAAGCTAGAGAGTCTTAAACTAGCACAGCTTGAAGAGAGGAATAAAGAGAAGCTAAACCCTGTAGTAGTTTAGGCGCTTCTGTATTTGCATAAGACTTAATCTTAGAACAATTCTGAAGGGAGCTACAGAAGAACCAAAAGACCTTTCACATCCTAATGGATGTGATGTTTTCTATTGCCTACGTGGGTAACAGTCTCACTACTGCCACTTATCACATTCACTTTCTACGTCCAGCCCTTTAAACACAGGAGATGAACTGATACTGTGCATCAGTCAAGAATTAGCCTTTAAACAGTATTTTCTGAGGGGTTGGAGTGGGCATTCATTTTCAATGGAAGGAGGAAACCTTTTGAAAGATGCTTTGGAAGAGAATGGTTATGGTTGAAAATAAAGCAGTTGGTGCCTGTGATTCACAATTGGAGGGACTGGTTTCTGTTGCCTTTGTTGGTAGACCGTTACATAAATTAGTGTAGGTCGCTTCCCCAGGATAACAGATAACAGATTGCTGTGTATCTGAGTGGACTGTGCTGTCCACTATGCTCCCTTCTTCAACAGATTTCTATGGCTAAGCCTCTGACTCTTTGAAGGTCATTTTAAAGAGGCTTTTGTGTTAAATGTGTACGTACTCAATTCACCTACTCTCTATTTAAAGGTTGTTAGTTAAATCATATGTCTGTTACAAACTGAACTCTAGCTTTTTTTTTTCCTTAAGCTGAATTATATTGCAGTAAGTCGCTTCTCTGGAGCACTGCTGAGCCAGTTCATTGTTCAGTTCTTGCACTGTGATAACTTCCTGAAAGCATGTCCTTTTCTAGGAACACTAAATGTCTGAGATTAGCGCCAGAACAGGATGTGAGACTTCAGTTCTGTAGTTGAATGTGGAGAAGACATTAGCACCTTCAGCTGCCCAGCACCTCTGATCTGTGAGATAACTGCTGCTTTCATCACCACAACTTAAATGAGGGTGCAATTATGAGAAATGTGTTAGAGGTTACTGCTGAAACGGTACAACTATCCAATGAGAAGATTGATTCTGAAGCCAAACTGTCCTTTGCTTGTTAGAAGAGCAGGCATTGTCAGATTACATCTCTTTCAATGTTTGTTTACAGTGTTCTGTGTTCCTGCCATTGAGTTTTACCTATTTTCAATCTAGATATTGATGAGTGCCAGTCTTCCCCGTGTGGATATGGTGCCACTTGTATAGATGAAATAAATGGATACCGATGCACTTGTCCGCCTGGAAGAATTGGTCCTAGGTGCCAAGAAGGTATTCCTATATCTGCTATCAACTTTTACCCAAAAAAAAGTAGGGTATAATGTAACCAGGATAGAGTTTAAATACAGTAGTCTGATGTGTAAGAAATAGTAGCTAGTATTTTTATTTAAATTTGTGTAGCGTCAGTAACTCAAAGAGGTGAAGTGTCTGAGTGTGTTTTACTTTTTGTAGTGATTGGAATTGGAAAGCCTTGCTGGCTTAAAGGAATTACCTTTCCCCATGGCAGCAGGTGGGATCAAGAATGCAACAACTGCCGCTGCTTGGATGGCCATATTGACTGCACCAAGGTAGGCGTTTTGACCTACCTTTTTAAATCCTTCTGTCTGAAACAAACTTACTGTTCTTCATGTACAAGTTAATATTTGGCTTTTCTTGGTCTAGACTCTTGCATAGGTCTCCCCCAGACTGTCTTTGTTTTTTAAGAAAAAGTGTATAATCACTTCATGTAAAAATACTTATGGGATTGTCTTTATAATCAAAAACTACTGTCCTGCTCTCTACCTGCTAGAAAAAGAAGCAGTAGACAGGCACTTTTTGCAGAAAAGGAAATACGAACTGGAGTGGAATAATGGTCCTTGAAGGGATAAATAAATCTCTCTGCCAAAGTTTCGCAAACACTGTTTTAGAGCTCCTAATTTTGTGAAACATTAGTTCCAAGGTAAAGAAAAGTTTCTTCAGTGGGTAATAATCACCTTTTTGTATTGTTCTTCAGTAGGTTTATGGAACAAATATGCTTTCTTGCTGACAGCTGTGCATTAAGAAAGCCATACGTTCCTAAACTAGTAGTATTATATAGGATCTTAAAGGGTACATCACAAAGTGCAGCTGAGTTTGGAAGCTTGCTGCTCTTGGGGGTACCAGTGTACTGTTTTCTTTTGGGAGAGTGGTTGAATTTACAGTGCTTATCACCAATGTGCGTCAGTTCTTAACATCGTCAGTATTCTCTGGCAAGGATCTCAGCATAAATAACGAAGAGAAATCAGTCCTTGTGGCAGTATTTCTCTTTCCTGATTATAGAAGCCTAGAGTACTAGTTTTAAAGCAAATGCTTGAACTTCTGTGTAACTCAGTTATGTGGGACAAAGCTGTAAGCCTGTAAGGAGATATGCCCAGTCGCTGGTGTCTTGGGTGATCTTCGCATAGTTTTTGCTCTTTTGTCCATGCAGAACGTTCTTGTTTTGTGGAAGAGCAGCTCCTTCTTCTACTGGGACTACGGCAGTATAAAAATACATTTTTTTTTTTGCAGTCAGTAGTAGATCATGACCATCTTATGTGAGTTGCTTACTTTGATTTGATGTGTAAGAGCAATTAACTGTAACAGTACTTTGTTCTTTTTAATTTCTAGGTGTGGTGTGGGAAAAAACCTTGTCTGCTACACAAACACTGGGATAATTCAAATAACCAGTGTCCCATGGGTCAAGAATGCCAGAAGAAGTATATGAAATGCTTTCAGCCACCGTGCACAGACTGGGGAGAATGCAGTGCCTCTGAACCTCTGCCTGCCAATATCAAGTGCCTGCCTAATTCTGGGTACTTGGACAATGACTGTGCTAGAATTACTTTAATTTTTAATGGAGACAAAGTCCCCCAGGTGAGAAGAGAATTATTACTGAAGTATGGCAATATATGTAGGGATATATTCCATGTCAGAACACGGAAGATTAATGTTTCTAATGTGATTCCTTGCTGTCCTGAGCTTGCAGAATTTGTTATCAAGCTCCTCTGTTGCTATTAATTGGGCTTTGTGTAAAAGGCAAGGTAAAATTAGCGTTTGTACTGAACAGTTTGTTTTCATTTTTAAATCTCAACTGAATTTTCTTACTTTCTAAGATGAGCTCAGACTGTACTAGGATGGTCATGCAAGCTCAGTTTCTCACCCTTCATTCCAAAACCATGTTCTTCACTTCTCTGCCCGTTCTTACTGCCCTCTTCACTGCCTTCATCAGGTCTCAGTAACTGCAAAAACTCTGAAGATGTTTATTTTTTGTTCCATTTTTTACTTGAACTGAACTCGTACAATCTCCCTTTCTTCTAACAGGGCACTACAACTGAAAATATATGTTTTGAGATTCGGTATTTACCAGCTACTAGGACTGTTTCTAGGGACAGGACTCTGATAATTTTATGTGATCTATCTTACTCCATAGAGAATGCAGTGGAAGTTGCTATTGTAAGTATGGGACTTGTTATATGTGTATATATATATGAAAATGTTTTCTTATTAGTCTGAACTGGGAAAGAGGTTGTTTAAGCTTGTTTCCCTTCAATGCAGATATTGCAATCTGTGGCTTAGTCTTGACTGCAAAGTGATTTTTGTCATCTCACAATTACCTATAATAGCTGAAACTGCAGGTTTTGTTAATGACAGAAGCCTACTGCAATCTTCTGATAATTTAAAGACTAATTCAGCCCAAATTAGTGAACAGGTGCCTGTGTGTTATGTCAGAAATCTTGAGCTATTTGCCTTCTCAGTAAGGAGATCTATTTGCAGGTGGCTCTGTTGGATCTTGTCAATGTAAAGAAGTTTCTGCTGTGCATTGGGAGCATGGCTGCTTCAGGATGTTCATTGAGTACAGCAGTGCTAAGTGGGAAGTAGAAGAAGGTGCCAGTTGAGTAGATGAAAGTAACTGTTGCCCTACTGAGCTAAAGACTTGCTTTAGAGGTGTTTGCAGCCCAGTCACTCAATGTTTGCATATTGCTTTGTTTCCAAGTAAAAAGTTAATTTCCATAGTCATGTGTCTATTTGGGCAGAAGCTGGACTGTCTGTCTGTACCAGTACCATAAAGAAGATGCTGAGCCATGAACCAGGACACAAAGTACATGGTACAAATAGAGCAGACTGTTACTAGTCCAAGGATCTATCTAGATAATCCACATGTCTTGAAGTGCTTAAAAATAAGTTTAGTTTAGCAGTGTAAATACTGTGGAAGGCCTTTATTTGAGGTACGCTAGATTAGCAAACAGGCATGGTACCCACCAAGTCTGACACTGCATCTGCAGTTCAGATAGAGCCAGCCAAGCTATTGCTGCAGTAAACTTTTGGAGCACTGTTTGGAACTACTCTCAGGTGAAGTTAACCTAGTGAACTCCATTATGAAGGAGGTGGATTTTAAAAGTAGGTTTCCACAGTTAGGTGGTAACAATAACATTTTGTTTTTTCCCCTTCACTTCCTTTAGTCTTTTGTCCCACATCGAGATGAGCAAGATAATAGTCTCATACAGAATGCTGCTAATACAATAGTAAATGCAATCACTAAGTGGCAAAACAGCACTGTTATGTTGGCAGTAACTGAAGTCAAAGTAGAGACCATAGTTGTTGGGAATTCATCATCAGGTAAGCTTCCCAATGCATACCTTGTGTGTGCATGTAAACACTTTCTGTTCCTCTACTGTCAGTCTCTTTCTTTACCTATTGGGGAAAATGATAGATTGAGTTGTTTCTTTAATTTCTATCACTAACTCAAGAGAAAGTGGCTTTACAATCAAGATTCTGTGCTTGTGTGCTGGTTCAAACTTAACTTCATCCCTAGTGTAATCCTCCCATCTACCTTATCACTGGTTTGGCTCTGACTTCCATCCTTGTTCTCCAGTCTGAGCATACATTTCATACGATCAAGAGTTCTTATGTGTTGCTCAAATCCTTTCTGATTCTCCTACATAAACTTTAACCCAACCTCAGCCCTTGATGCTACTGCACTATAGAAACTGAGGCCGTGAGGTAATGAAAATATGGGAAAAGGTGAGACACAAAGTGTGATACTCTCTTCTGAAGCACTTATGTGTTGTTTACCTTAATAAGAGTTAAAGATGTCTAGTATCTTCTAGTATTTGGCCATGATAATGTAAAACTTTGCCCTCTTTCAACATGTGTTTCTTGCTAGTGCACAGCTGGCTTATAATGTGATGTTTATTCCTCTTAATGAGGACATGGTGTGACTGGAGAAACCTTTCTCTCTGTATATAGGCTATCTGACCGCTATGCCAAAATAAGCAGTTGTAGATTTTGCATGCCTGTGTTGCTGCTTCAGGGGAGGCAGGAGAAGGTATTGTGGAGGACCCTTGGTAGGCTTCAGTTCAACTAAGCCCTAGAGTGGAAACCTTACAATGGCAGGAGACTCTCCCAGCTTTTTCCTACACCTCCCCAACATAATCTTCCGGAAGATCTTCTACCTGTAGTAATAAACAATTAGTAAATTGCCTGGTTGCACTTTCCTTGCATTTCCCTTCTAGGGAATGCCTTTCATCTGTTAAAGCTTTGGCAAATGTACTATTTCCTCAGCTCCCCTGCAGGAGTGTACCAGCTTTGTTCCTGTCTTGGAGAGAAATTGTGTAGACGATAAAGATTCAAGCTGAGATTCTGACATACCTCAGCCTCTCCTTCTGATTGTGTTAAATGCTAGAGCAAAAGGGATGGGGATTACTTTGCATCCCACCTCAATAAGATTAAATCTTTCCCAAGGAAGTGGATTGGTTTTAACTTCTCTTGTAGCTAGTGGTAGAGAATGATTTCCAGGCTTCTCATTTTATTATGGATGCTTAATATTGACCATTGGTCCCTCGTTATTTAAGTGGAGTTGGTCCGAAGTAAACTGGACTGTTGTGGTCTTTGGTTTGTGTTATTGTTACCTCTAAGTGGTTGAGATAGGTGGAAACCTGTCACAAAATGTGGTGTAAAGCCCTGTATTGAGAATCTCACTTCTGTGGGATGCTAAAGTGTCGGGTTAGATCGTTTAGACACGCCATTAATTTCCTTTAGCTTTAAGAAAATCTATTCATCATTTGGCATTTCTATACAGACAGCTTTCAGTGTAATAACCTTTTATCAAAAAAACTTGGATCCACAGTTATATGACTAAACAATAAATGTGATAGCCATGAGAATACAAGCTTTCCATTCTGATCTTGGAGAAGCTGGTGTGAAGAGCTCCTCTTTCCTTGAAGTATTTCCACCACCACCAGATGCATGGTTTAGTATTAGATTGCTTATGAAAAATGAGGAGAGAATAGCAGTTACTTTTAAGGGTAAAATCCTTCCCAAAACTGCTAAAATACTATTTTTATATCCCTTGAGGCCAACCGTGTTCCAGAAGGAAATGTTTAAGAGTGTGCCATTTTCTATATGACGTGTTCAGAAGACACCTCAGCATTAGGATGAATGACTGTGGTATTGAAGCACTTGGTTGTTTTTGTACAGCCATTTGCAGGTTATTCTCTAAGCAGTTGTCTTAAAACTGCGTGGAGGGAATTTAAGCTTGGATTAGAGGTTAGAAGTGGTGGGTTGGCAGCATTTGTCTACAGAGCTTTTGAGCAGCGCTGCTGTCTCTACGAAAAGCGAAGCACCTTCTGTCGTACTGCCTCTTACTTGTGTGAATTGTTGCTTGTCAAGAATAGCAAAATGTTGTTCTGTCCTAGCAGTAAAGCCCTTGAGGAGGAGGGGGGAAAAAGTCTAAACATGCATAAATTTTTTGGGAATTGTTTTGTAGAGCAACAATCTAGGTCTGATGTGGCTGGGAGAGCACTAGTGAGGTTTGTGATTGGGGATGTGGAGAAAAGCAATTGCCTCAACTCTTTCTTTATTCATTAAGCAGTGAAGAGTCATACATTTAGTGGCAATATTCTAGTGTTCTACTCTGAATTAAAACTGGAACAACCTAAAGAGTGCATGGCTGATTTGGTTACGTAGCTCTAACCTGTATGTTTGTCGAGATAGTTGACAGATAAACGTTTGTGGACTTGATGGTAAAGGACTCTTCTTTCTGGTAGTAAATGCAGGACATTGCTGAAGCAAGTGCCTATAGTTGTAGAGCAACTCAGAGGAAGGGTACTCAGAGCCTGCCTCCTACAAGGATAGATTTATTTACTTTTTTAGGAGTCATTACTGAGGTTTTCTGGGCCAACTTAGCTGAAGTGCTTGGGAAAGAGATGCTCCTTAGAACCCGTTTGTTGGAGAGGAAAAAGACATCTCAAGTGTAGCATTTCCACCCTCATCATCAAGCAGGGAAAACTCTAACTTAGTTTATAAAGAGCATTTCTAGATGAACTAGTGCATTCAGACAGCTGTCATTGTGCTGGAATGACTGCCTGTTTCCTTTCTCCTAAAAATCTTTCCAGGGCTAACCTATAGTTACGAATGGGTACTTCTTTTGCAGGTAACCGGTGCTATATATCTAGTTCTGTTAATTCAAGACTTTGTTTTTTCATTTGTCCTCTAGATTATTTGGTTCCAATTCTTTGTGTGGTATTTAGCATTGTATGGCTGACTTGTATAATCATCTGCGTGTGGTGGACTCGGAAGAGAAGAAAAGAGAGAGAGCGAAGTCGTCCTCCCAGAGAAGAGGGTGCCAATAACCAGTGGGCGCCTTTAAATCCAATAAGAAATCCAATAGACAGATCTTACAGTAACAAAGACATTCGTTACGAATGCAAAAACTTCATATCTCCTCAAAAAAGAACTTGTGATGCGGTGGAGGAATATGTGGAGTATGAGGAAGAGGAGGATGAAGAGGAGGAAAGAGATGAGGAAATGGACAAATTCCTCTCTCTCAAACTCGCGAAGCCTTTGCCGACAAAGGCGTCTGACACGTCAGAGAGCAGTCCAGTAAAGAAATCCCATCAAATAGGCAAAATGGACAACAGAGCTGTAAAAAATGTGAATGCATCAAACTTTGAAGGCAGTAGAGACTAACCTGTATTTGGAATGCGGGCAGACTGCGCCTGCGCTCACTGGGGTGGGGAAAAATTGACATCTCCACTTTGCAGCAAGGACTAAGAAAAAAAATATCTGGAGGGAAATGTTCATAGTTTCTTTATTTTGCGTAAAAAAAAAAAGGAAATAAAAATAATAATAAATAAAATTTATTTTGTTTCGTTAGCCTTGTGTAAATTATTCAACGACTGTCAGATGAAAAAAAAGAATGAGTAATCTTTGATAGTTGCTATTTTTGTAAAGTTTACTTATAATACACTCGCTGTGTGGCAGAGGAGAGGTTGTATTTTCAATATGTGTAAAGTTTATTACAAAAGACTGTACACTGTTTACAGAATGTATTTCTTTTTATTACTTGCTCTAATTTAATGGTGGCTTTAAAACCTCCTGGTTGAGGACATTGTGTGAACTTTAAAACTGCTTTCTTGACGTTGAATCTCTATTAATGGCAGCTCACTGCACTTGTTACGTTAGTAGCTTCTGTAAGATTTAATTTTGTTTTCCAAATTTGCCTTACACACTTTGTAATAGGAACAAAGGAAAATTATAGAGATCTTTTCAACTGTGGTTTAAAAGTGGCCTTTTTATTTCTGTTTGATTCCTTTAGAATTGCAGTATTGAAGCATGTGACAAGTGCCTTGAGATTATAAACTTTTTCTATAGCAACTGTCAAAGACTGCCATACCAATATAGTACAATTGTGAGAACTCTAGGTTCCCCAACTGACACAGTTTATTTTCTAATAGTGAAAGTGCTTTTTTTGTAAATATGTACATATTAAATGAATCACTCTGTATATTTGATTTAATAACTTAAATATTTTGGTCTTTTTTTTTACACGTCATTCCTTTTAATTTATGTTGCAGAAAAGGAGGTTTTATGGCAGTTTATAAGACTTTTTTTTTGGTATTATGTCCAGATTAGAAGATGTTAATACAATCAATGTTAGGAATCTGTTGGTCATTTGTATTTACATAGGAGCATAACCACTTTACATGTAAATAGATCCAGAAATGTTTGTTTATCCCCATGTTCAGCCCATCTGGAGAACACTAACGGGTGCATCTACTGTACAGTACCAACATAGCGAGGCATTGTTTTTTTCTTTTGTGAATATGTTAATTACATGTGGTATTACTTTTTTGCGTTTAAATACAGGCCTAATGAAGGGAACAATATTTTCCTCGATCTCGTTTCTGTTGTGCTTTATTCATCTTTCGCTCTAAAGAAAAAAGGCTGGCAAGCTCGGAAGGTGGGAGTACCTCATTAGAAACGGTTATTTGTCATGGAAGGCTTATGCGTTGGTTTGTTTTTTTTAAAAGGCTTTATTATTGCTGTTAACTGGGCAAACGATAAGTTTATTTTAATTACTGAAGAAGCATAACACCACGTACACCTAGCTACCCTACCAGTGAAAGGAGCGGATGTTCGGGAGTAGAAACCCTGGCCCACGAACAATGTAAACGTGAATGTTTTGAAACCAGTTGTTTTATACGGGAACGCAGGATTTGCTTTGCAGGAGTTTTCTGTTTTAGTACATTTTTGTTTGACACGTTCTTAAAAAAAAAAAAAGGAAAAAAAAACCAACTTTCAGAAAAGAAACTATTTATTGAAGCATTTTATAATGATGTTTGTTGTAACTTTTTTACTTGTGCTAAATATTCAAAACTTATTTTGATAACCTGGTTAGGAGTTAGTTTAGAAAAGGGTACTATCCTTCTCATGTTCCCCAGTATAATCCTGAGTATTTAAACCAAAAACACTTTTTTTTCTGCTACTCTTGTAACTTTTTGTACTGTAATGCTGCTGTCTTCCATAATCTAATAAAATGATTCCCTCATTGTGTGTAAGATACTCCAGATCGTGTTTGCTTTTGAAGCGCTGGGAGTTCTGATGAGGCTAAACGAACGGAGAGTGCAAGTCCCAGTTCCCAACAGGGTACATCCCATACCCTGAGCTCCCAGCCTATCTTGTAGTGCCACCGCTGCCTGAGCCAGCGTGGCAGCCTTGTCCCCTGCCTGCTGCTGCACCATGGACGGTTTGCGCAGGAGGTGGTGTCCTGTGTGGGATCTAGAGCCACAGACACCTTTGGTGTCTAAATCAGGACCCTGTGCGCTGCCTCTTTGCGGGCACGAAGGCTCCTTTGTAGGTGACACTTTGTGTACAATGTGCCTTTTTGGAAATGGCTCTCCTCCCGGCTGCCAAGCCAAGGCTTGTCTCACAGCATCATTTTGCTTCCTTGGGTGATAAAAGAGCTGTTTGAGCATGCAGGGCCTTGAGGTATCCTTGCCAAAGTGAGTTGGATTTTTAAATCATACCTTTCTCCTCCAGTCTGCAGCCATTTCGGACCTTTTACTTATCATGCTTCAACTCTAGTTTAGTAGGTTTATGGCTGTTTCTTGCAATGACTTGAATGGCTTTTGTGTAGGATGCTTTCTGTACTAGAAGGTGAACTTGTATGTAAGTTAACATGGACTGTAAAATGTGAATTTTCCTAGTAGCTATCAATTTCTAAAGCTGAATTCTAGATCCTAGCAGAATTTTTGTTCCAGTCATCACACAGTTACTTTTGCTATAATTTTCCTTGCAGTACTGGCTTGTCTTTGTCTTTGTAGGTGAAAGCTGTTTCCAAGTTGGTTCTCAAAACCAAATTCTGTTGTTACCTTTGATTTCCACTTTTCCAATACCTGTCTCCTGCCCTGGAATAAAGGCTGATGGGAGAGGGGACATCCAAAGCTGAGATAAGGAGCCAACGCTTTTTTTCAATGATGACTTAGTGAAGTCAACACTGTTGTGCCTTGGGAAAACTTAGTGGCTGCCATTAGCTTGTCCAAAATAGTGGGAGTGATGCTACAACCATTCAAGACAGTTCAGGTTACGTGAATTGTAAGACTCCCAGAGGCTGCTGGATTTGTAAGTACCCGCTGCATAGAGCAATTTGTGATACTCACAATGTACTTAAAATAGCTGAGAGAATGCTCCTTGTTGGAGGTTTTATGTGAACACAAATAGATGGAGTGGGTGTTGCTGCTGTAGGCAAAAGAAATAATAGATTTTTATACAGAATAAGGCTGTGGCTGTCCTGTGGTGCAGCAGTGAGCTGGCTCACTGACCCTGACCGCAGTGGTTCTGCTCCTTCATGTTTCTGAAATAATGTGTAAAGTAATGGGGCCACAACAGTGGTCATCACCCATTGCTGTAAAGAGAAGGCTAGGACATGATACCACGTCCAGGGTTATCTCCCCTGTGGATTCACAGTACCAGCATGGACAAACGTTCAACTTGGTAGTGCTGTCTGCCTGCCAAAACTCAGAATTATTTAATGCCACCTTCACACAATGACCAAGGGCAAGTTATGTAGGCTGAGATGTGAAAAAAGACGATTTAAAGAAGAGGATGAATGAAAAGTAAACTTAGACTTGCGCGGTTTAATCTGTTTTATACAGATTTTATTTCTGTGTTGCTCCTAAATTAATTGTGTGTCTCCTCCGCTTGCTCCCCACCACCTTATGCAGTAGTTTTGTTTCCTTTTGACTTACTACAGGGAATGTTGAACTCGTACATCTCAACTTTTTGCTGGTGCACATGCTAAGCATTCTGTTACTTCCAGAGTCGTGGCTGTTACTTAATGAGGAAAATTAGTAAATGGGCCTTTCCTTGAGATTTTTCTAAGCAGTGAGTAGTTCCAGGTTAGTTTGTATTCTTTGCTCTTATCAAGATCTGATGCCAACCTGAAACTTTTGGCCATTTGCTGTTGTCTGATTTGTTTTCCATCAGACCATGTAATTGGTCCTCTTGACATCAAACCATGCTTGAAGGGAAAGTTAGCTCATATAGCAAAAAAACCTCACTGCTGCCCCATATTTTTTTTCAGGAACAACCTAAAGGTTGAAGGGCACTTTAGTTGCTGCCTTGAAAGCTGCAGAGAACAGTAATTGCAAGGTAGCTTGGGCTGTAAGAAAGTAGAGTGGCATGGAACTGACTTGCACAAGAGTTTGGGTTCACAGAATCCCAGAATCACTCGGTTGGAAAAGCCCTCTGAGATCATCACGTCCAACCGCTCCTGTCTACCCCCTAAACCATATCCCTAAGTACCTCGTCTACCCGCTCTTTAAACACATCCAGGGATGGTGACTCCACCACCTCCCTGGGCAGCCTGTTCCAGCTTCTGACGACCCTCTCAGTAAAGAACTTCCTCCTTCTCTCTAACCTGAACCTCCCTTGGCACAGCTTGGTGCCGTTACGGGTTAGTTCAGTTCAGCCACAGGTATGGCCTCTCTGTCACGTTGGTGAGTGCTGATGGACTATAGTAGCCCTTTGGGTGCAAGAGAGGAAAGGATGAGCCTGAACAAGAGTTCAAGGAGCTTGTGAACCTTCCCAGGCAGTTGGCACCCCTTCTGGTGGGCAGTCCAGCTGGGACCTTTTATGGGACCCATTGTGAGCAAGGAGGGTGGAAGCTGGCTTTGCTTTTTCTCCTTGCTTAACAGTAAAGCAAGCGTTGGAGTCACTCTTAGTAGGAGTCTTGCTCTTGCTTTGGAAAAATTACATGAATCTCAAGAGTTGCTCTGTTCTGGGCCTTATTTCATCTCAGGTTGTGGAATGTCCAGCTGTGACCTTTATGGGACCCATTGTGAGCGAGGAGGGTAGAAGTTGGCTTTGCTTTTTCTCCTTGCTTAACAGTAAAGCAAGCGTTGGAGTCACTCTTAGTAGGAGTCTTGCTCTTGCTTTGGAAAAATTACATGAATCTCAGAGTTGCTCTGTTCTGGGCCTTATTTCATCTCAGGTTGTGGAATAAAGAGCAGGCTTATAAAGCAGTAAAGGAAAAAAAAGGTCTCCTTGGGAATGAGCTATGACTACATCCTTCCTATGCTCATCCCTTTTACAGCATCTGCTCTCATACCCAGTATTTCTGTACGGATATGTGAAACTTTTCTCTTGCTCTGTATGCAAGTGATTTCTTTCAGCGTGATGGGGACTTTACACTAAGTGCCAAAATCTCTTTTCTTCAAACGCTTGATTGTAAACATCTGCTTGCCATCAAATGTTTATAAATTAATGTCATAGATAATATTCTTCAATAGAATGGGGTTTTTTCCCCCTCTAAGCATCACTGTGTTTCATGGTTCATTGGGTCACCTTTTGCCTTCAAAAGCCAGTAAAATCTGGGTGGTTTGTGTGAATCTCCTTTTTACACTGTGTGCTACTTCTGGAGCAAGAAGAAACACATTGTCTAGGGCTGTGTCTGTATTCACAGCCCATTCAGTCTTGGAGATGAACTGGACGGGGATACAGCTCTCCTGCCTCAAAGTTAACAATCCGGGTTATTTGCAGAAAATCAGTGTGAATTGCACAGGGCATGCGACTTCCCAATGATTGAACAGTGCTATCTCTATATCAAGATCTGCTATCTTGACTTTTGCAAGTCCCATGCTTCATTCTGGAGCAAGGGTCTGGAGAACAAGCCTGATGAGGAGCGGCTGAGGGAACTGGGCTTGTTTAGCCTGGAGAAGAGAAGGCTGAGGGGAGACCTCATCACCACCTCCAACTGCCTCAAGGGAG